TAAATCTAAATATTAATATTTAATAAGATAAATTTTTAAATTTTAAATTGAATTTTAATTAGATAAAATGTGGTATTTACTTTAAATTTGGAACTTTAATTTATTTTAAAAATTAAAATTGATATGTATTTTTTTCTTATTATATTTATATAATATCATATATCATATAATTATAAATTTATCATTTTAAGGATACTATTTTTATATTAAACTTTCAAGATTTAAAAATTATATTAACATCAACTAATTTAAAATTAAATCACAATACATAAAAAAAAATTTTAATATCTATTACTGTATTTATTAAATTTAAATTTAAGACTTTATTTAAATAATATTTTTACCCAAATATATGATTTTATTTTAGTTAAACTTTATTTAAATTAAAAAAATAAATGGTCAAATAATTCAAAAATCTGCTCAAATGTCAAATCCTTTGTCATATAAGCATGACATGGCAATATTTTGCCATCCAAGCAGCCAAGCGGGTATGTCCCAAACGGCAGTTAAGCCAGCTGACGGAGTCCCACCGACAGTTAAGTTGGCGTAAGAAGAAGGGCTTAATTGCTTTGATCCCAGAGTTTAAGGGTTTATATGCATCAATTAAAGTCTATCAGCTTAATAGCGATTCTGGGGTTAGTTCAGGGGCTTAACTTATGGTTTTGCCTTGTATAAAAAGAAAGTTTTGGGAGATAAAAGAATAATAATAATAAATTATTATTTTTATTAATGATAATAAAAATTATTAATTATGTTTTTAAAAATTAACATATATTATCTATATGAATAAAATATTAAATTTAACTGTTAATATTTAAAAATATTTATTGGAGGGGACTTTTTTAAAAGAGTCAAAACGGACAGCGATACGTACACCCATGAACCGGCACCCATTTTTACACCCAAATTGGTTTAAACAGTAAAATTACAAATTTACCCTTCTCACTAAATCTATTTCCCAACAATCAAATCCCAGCAAAATTCAAGCACATTCAACAAAACTCAAGCACATTCAACAACCAAATCCCAGCAAAATTCAAGCATTCAAGCACACTCAACAACAAAATCCCAGGAAAACTCAAGCATTTCACCAAAT